CCTCAAAGACATTTATATAACAAGTCACTGTCAACCACTCTGTGGTTATGCAAACAAAAGTGGATCTATTATTTAGAAGATTTTTTTCTACACCTGTTCCACTAGCTAGTTTGCAAGGAAAGTGTTACTTGCTACTTAAGTGAGTAATTTACTATTGTTATTGTTTATGAGCTTTACAATATATGACAACAAACAAATATCTATTTACAAAAATTTTAACTCTGAGTCTGATGCTCAGGCTCATCTGTGCCCAGTCAAGATGGGTTAAGAGAAGCCTTGGCTGCAGCGATCATGAAAGGCTAGCAGTCAAGATCCTCAGGGCAGCAAGGAGAGTGCAGAGCAAGCTCACCACCCTGGACTTCAAGAGAGGACGCTTGGACCTCTTCAGGCATCCACTCAGCAGAGTACCAAGAGATGAAGCGCTAAAGGGAACAGGGGCCCAAGAAAGCTGGTCCATATTCAAAGACCACCTCCTCCATGCCCAGGAGCAATGTGTTTGAAAAATGAGGAAGGCAGGCAAGAATGTCAGGAGGCCTGTGTGGATGGACAAGCGGCTCCTGGACAAACTTAAAGGTAAAAAAAAGAATTTACAGGAAGTGGAAGAAAGGACAGGTGGATTGGGAAGAATACAAGGAAGTGGTTTGAGCAGCCAGGGATCAGGTTTGGAAAGCTAAAGCCCAGACAACTTTAAATCTAGCCATATCAGGGGAAACCAGAAAAGCTTTTATAGGTATGTCAGTGATAAAAAGAAGGCTAGGGAAGATGTGGCTCCACTCCAGAAGGGAGCAGGAGAGCTGGTCATGAAAGACATGGAGAAGGAAGAGGTTCTTAATGACTTCTTTGCTTCAGTCTTCACTGGCAAGGGCTCTAGCCACACTGTCCAAGTTGTAGAAGCTGAAGGCAGGGGCTGGGAGAAGGAAAATCCACCCACTGTAAGTGAAGATCAGGTTTGAGACCATTTAAAGAACCTGAAGATGTACAAGTCCATGGGACCTGATGAGACCCATCCATGGGTCCCGAGGGAACTGGGAGATGAAGTTGCTAGGCTGCTTTTCATCATATTTGAGAGGTCATGGCAGTCTGGTGAAGTACCCACTGACTGGAAAAGGGGAAACATCACCCCCATTTTAAAAAAGGAAAAAACAGAAGACGCAGGCAACTACAGGCCAGTCAATTTCACCTCTGTGCCTGGCAAGATCATGGAGCAGTAGGCTCTGCTATGGCACATGGAAAATGTAGAGGTGATTGGTGGCAAGTAACATGGCTTCACCAAGCAAAAATCCTGTCTGACAAATCTGGTGGCTTTTTATCATGGAGTAACAGAATCAATGGACAAGAGAAGAGCAACTGATGTCATGTACCTGGACTTGTGCAAGGCCTTCGACACTGCCCTGCATGACATCCTCATCTCCAAGTTGGAAAGACATGGATTTGATGGATGGACCACTTGGTGGATAAGGAACTGTCTGGAAGATCGCACTCAAAAGTGTTGCAGTCAATGGCTCAGTGTCCAAGTGGAGAGCAGTGACAAGGGGTGTCACTCAGGGATCAGTCCTGGGACTGGTATTATTTGTTAGCAACATGGACAGTGGCATCGAATGCACCCTCAGCAAGTTTGCTGACAACACAAAGTTGCGTGGTGCGGTCAACATGCTGGAGAGAAGGAATGCCATCCAGAGGGACCTTGAAAGGCTTGAGAGGTGGGCCCAGGCCAACCTCATGAAGTTTAACAAGGCCAAGTGTAATGTCCTGCACCTGGGTCAAGGCAATCCCAAGCAGAGATACAGGCTGGGCAGTGAGTGGACTGAGAATAGTCCTGGGGAGAAGGATTTGGGCATGTTGGTAGACAACAGCAAGATCAGCATGAGCCAACAGTGTGCGCTTGTGGCTCACAAAGCCAACTGTATCCTAGGATGCATCAAGAGATGTGTGACCAGCAGGTCAGGGGAGGTGACTCTGCCCCTCTACTCTGTCCTTGCGAGACCTCACTTGGGAATACTGCATCCAGCTCTGGAATCCCCAACATGAGAAAGACACAGAGCTTTTGGAGTGAGCCCAGAGGAGGGCTACCAAGATGGTCAGAGGGTTGGAGTACCTCTCCTATGAGCACAGGCTGAGAGAGTTAGGCCTGTTCGGCCTGGAAAAGAGAAGGCTCCAGGGAGACCTTATAGTGGCCTTCCATTACCTGAAGGGGGCCTCCAAGAAGGCTGGGGAGGGACATTTTACAAGGGCCTGTAGTGATAGGATGAGGGGTAATGGGTGGAAGCTGCAAGAGTGTAGGTTTAGACTAGATATAAGCAAGAAGTTCTTTACCCTGAGGGTGGTGAGGCACTGGAACAGGTTGCTCAGGGAGGTTGTGGAACACGTTGCTCAAGGCCAGGCTGGATGGAGCCTTGAGCAACCTGATCTAGGGGGAGATGTCCCTGCCATGGCAGGGGAGTTGGAACTAGATGATCTTTGAGGTCCCTTCCAACCCAATTCATTCTATGATTCTATGAACATGAAGAACTAGGACAGCTGGTGGCAATTCTGGCTTAAAAAACAAGCTCATTTTTTTCCAAATATTCTGTTTAGTATTGGAATGGAAACATGGGGCCAGACTGCACAGTCCCTCATTTATGCAGTATAATTACTGATGCCAATATTTTTTGGCCAATTATTGCAACTGAAATTGCTGCTTTGACATGTTTTGTCCTGTGCTTTCTTTTAAAGAGACTCCCAAGAAAGAGAGAAAACTTGAGCTCCACTTTTCCTGCTTTTTAATCATAAATAAGCAGCACAGTTATAAGCTAGACATAACTTTATTCTGAAATCTGTGTCACAGATGTGTATACATCTGTGTTCATGGACAAAAGCAACTCAGTTTCCTTGTGAAGGAGTGACTTTCTTTTTCTCAATAGCTATTCACAATTATTTTTTTGTTGTGGGGTAGTATCTAAATACATAATCTTGAATATCCGATTGATGAAAATATCCCAAAGTAGTACCATAACTCAATACCATGCATTTACAGCAATATGAGGTCTGATAGACTGAAGCATTATACAGAAGACTAGATGATTTAAAAATTCTTGTGTAGCACCAGTTGCTGTCTTAGAATAAACACAATGATAATATTTTCTAGATGTAGTAGTTGTTTTAAATCCTGATAAAACTGTGAGAAACATATGAGTTAATTATCATGACTTCAAAATATAAATAAGTAAATCCACAAAAGCAGTTTCAACAGTCTGACTGGTAACTATATAAAATGAATTTATTAAGGTCATGTGATCAGAAAGTTTTGTCGAGTTCCTTACATCAATGAAGGCTATGCTACTTTAAATTTTACTATCTTTCAAAGGAAAGGTGTGGCATTAAGTGAAAGGTAATTTTTAATTGAGAAAAAACAAATAATTATGAATAAAAACAATTCTTCAAAATAAAATGCATTTACATCAAATATGTGAAATGTATGTTTGAAGATTAGGTTATTGTTAACATTCTTAAATCACAGTATTATATAAAGACAGAAGGTAAACATTAAATGTTTCCACATTTGGCAATTTTTTAGAGAAATAGCAATATCTTTTACTTCCTTAAGGGTAAGTTAGAAAACTACAATTAATGACAGGCCAAACGTAACTATGGTAAATAACAAAATATATCATCTTACAAGAAGAACAAATGCAAGAAAGCCCTGTTGAGGACTGAGTTCTCCAGCTTTTAAATGAATAAGAGCACAAAAGTTAGTTTGGTATTAATATATTAGTATGAAAAAGTAACTGAAGTATTTAATGGAAAGTATGGACATACCTTGTGTTTGAGACAGATGAGAAGCAGGTGGCCTGTGATGTACATATTCTTGTTATTGGCAAGAGAAAAGGAGCTTTCCTCTTAAACACTGAAAAATCTACAACTTAACATGTGCGCATGCATTTCCGTCAAATACAGCAGTACGACTTGCAAAGTACTAGAGGTGTGTGTATGCTTATTCTTACATCATTATCTTTCTCCATCACTAGAACATGCCAAGACAGCTAGTTCACATCTGCTCTTCACAATTCTCAAAACATTTTCTTTTCCATTTTTTAAAATGACTTTCAGGACAGAGCTTATTTTAGCTGTTTCTTATACTTCCCCACTTCTCTTTCAATGCAACTGTTGTTCCCTCTGGTAGGTATACTTTTATTTGTAACTAGTTTGTAGTCTTAACATTTTGGTCTTGCTTAAACCTGGGTAGCTCAATAAACTTTGTTGCAACAGGATCACATTTCATTGCTATTTAGAAGGTCCTGTAAGTATAAGCTCTATACATAGGTTAGCACCAAGGTTGTACAAGTTGCAAATCCAAATTTCACATAGTTATCTTCTATTCAATGCTGTTGGAGCACTGCAATCTACAAAAATAACCTCAGGAGCAAAAGCCACAATCAATTGTGCACACATAGATACGTACACAAACTGGCAAAGTGATTCTTGTGCCAAATACAGTAGGGGGAAGGCAATTTCACGTTTACTGTTTTCACAAGGTGATGAGGGCAGAAGCAGAGCAACAAAGCGATAATGTTAAATTTAGCTGTCATTTGCAAATAGGTTTATTCAATAACATTAAACTCAAACCAAAATAAAGTTGCAGCACGGCATTGCTCTCCTTTCTCAGTATACTTGAAGCAAAAGATGGCTGATTATTTAAGTCAATTATAGTTTTCATAATAAACAACATAAAAGCAAGAGTTACCGACAATCAGATGATAGCAGAGGATCTGTCTCCCTGAATTATACACACATTGTGACAGGATACAAGTGTACTATGTTTATATAAAAATATATTCAACATCTAAATGATCTGTACCTTGAACCATCCTAGGACAACTTTGCAACAGAAGCTGTAATTATAACATATTTCCACAGTACTTTTTAGATATTTGATGTGGACTAATTATTTTTTATGCTAAAGAATAGTGACAAAATTGATCATCTTTTTAATCTATTTTTACTCTTTGGATCTGTCATGCAGTTGCCAAGGATTCAAATCTCATTAGTCAGCATTTTATAATTACATGTTAAGAAATATAATCATTTCAGCTTCAAATAAAGTACTTTAAGTCACTTGAGTATTTGCTTGGGAATTGGTCCAGGAGATGAAGTCAACTTAGTCCAGTTTTAAAATCTACACTTGGAATAGAACAGATGAGATGTAAATAATTACTGAAATGTTGCCTTCATTCTGCGCAGTGCATCCTGGATTTTTCGAGAATGTTTTTCTGCTGGTATCTGATGGAAGTTGGCACAGTTGTCAGCTGCCAAGGCAGAAATGTCTGCATCTTTAAAATGAGTTATTCTTTGCCTGAGGTAAGCCTGCAGCTTGAAATCTGGTGTATATGTATAAGGATTCTCTTGAAATGCATGAACTTGGCTCACAACTTTTGCAATATTTCTTCAAAGAGAATATGGTAAAAAAGATTAGTTTGTTTTGCCACTGATAAAAAAAATAAAACAAATCCAAAATCACCCCCAGTCTTGAAAGGAAATTCATAGACACTGAGTATTCTCTTCTATAGTTCACATCCTTTTAGTTAGACATCAAAATAACTGAAACTGTTTAAATCGCTAACTGAAATGTTGCACGAGCTCTCATTACCCCATTAGACAATGTTCTATTTTAAAAAGTTAGGTGGCAAACATACATAATTAAAATAATTACCTGAGTTTAGCCCACTTGTGAGCTCCATTTGTCATTGTGAATCCTCCAGTTTCAAGTTGTTGAACATGCATAGCCAAAACATGGGCTGATGGAATTGTTGGAAGTGTTTTGAATCGTTCTCCTTCCATCAAGCACAAACTGTCACTTTTTAAAAACACCTAGTTTAAAAATGCACACAGATAAATCTCACAGTAAGTATCAGGGCAGATTTTACAAGAAGTTCTCCACTTTGTGTGTTTAGCATTACATATCTATTTGTCATTAATTTTAACTTTTGTCACTGAAGTTGAAGACGAAACTATGAATTAATCTGGTGGGAAACATTTTAATTACATAAAGTAACTTTAATCAAAAGATACTTTATACATAATTTTTAATTGCTCTAAATCACAGACAAAATTACATCCTTGTTCTCCAATTCAAAATTGGATAAATCAGTAAGAGAATTCCTGTGACAAAATAAACATTTGGGACTTCTCAAAACAGATTGCAGCCACAAAGCTCCTGCAGAAATAATAATTAAAAAAAAAAAAGTGTATCTGATGTCCTAGCTTGCTTTGAAACTTCTTTCTTGATTTTCAGTCATACAGGATACATTGTTGAGAAATGCTGAGATGAAAATTAACGTACACTCTCAGCTCATGAGTCAACAGTTTTAAATTGAATTAAAATCCTCTTCATAATATAAAGTAGTAATTATGGCTTTCATCTTGCAGAGGCACCCATTTAAGCAGTTCTTTCATTTCATCCAACCCCTAAGTACTATTTTTACATTAAAGAATTTATACTATACCTCCACAGCTTTGAGTTCCTCCATTATTTCAGCTACTTTTGCAGGTAAAATTTTCCAGGCCTTAGAATAAAACAAAATATATTTTTGTTTTTCACATTAAAGTCCCAACTGGAACAAGATTATGTTGAACAAAATAGTTGCAGAACAGAGTCCCAAACTTACTGGTAACTGTCGCACGATAAGATTTTCCAAGCCTGCCAGGATTTGCATTGCAGTAGCAAAATTTCTTTGTTCATAGCAGCATTTTGCTATAAGAAGAAATTTTGATAACAAGCTCACCTGCAGCTGAAAAAAAAAGTATTAATATATAAGAAATTAAGATATACTAAATACATATAGTAAAATTACATAATAACAGTGAAAAGGAAGGAAGAGATGAATTTTCTTTTTGAATTTATTATCAAAATTGTTGACTAAAGTAACATTTTCCTTCAACACAGTTTTCTTTTTGCTGTCATCAAAGCGTGCTGGGTAAAGGCTGATATCTATTTTCCTCAAGCAACCTACTTCTTACATTCTATTAAGTTTCAACACACTCTACTACAAAACATCCAAGATCCTGCTTGTGACAACAAACCATATTGTTAACTGCCCTCTCACAGGTGTATTTCAGAATATTTCTTGCAGCTTTGCTACATAGCAACTTACATACAATAACAAATAACCATTTCATATTTAATAATACAATAAAGCAATGACAAACCTTAGATGTGTGACATGTTACAATTTCAGCAGCAACCCAGGTACTGATACTCTCTGCATTTCTTAATAACTGTAGAAGGTACTGGTCTTGTATACACTTAGACAGAAACAGGTTACAGACTTTAAGTGAAACTGTCTCAGTAGAAACAGCTCTATGGAGAGAATGAAAAAAAAAGAGGCAAAAATAATTCATGCTGACTTTGGATTTTCAAAAAAATCTGAATTGAGAAGGTGCCAACTTCTAATTTTGCAGTGCTTGCAGAATTGATTTTAAATCTTTTACAAAGTACATAGTGAGCTATGTTATAGGCATATGCAGTATAAATTTCTGTCCATAAAGACGTCTTCATCTACTGAAGAAAACAAACCAAGCAACCTGTGGCAAAGTAACAGTCAGAAATCCAAACTCATTAAAACAGCAGCCACATAAGAAACTGAGCCTGACACCAAGTGGCACCACACAGTTTGTCTCACATGTGTGCACCCCAAATCACTACAAACAAGCTGGTTTAGCCTCTGCCATCTAACAATCTGTAAAAGATGAGCTGCTTTAGGTGTTCATTCCGTATCCTTAGACAGAGAAGTCAGCTAGTGCTAGCTAGCTGAATCCACCGAGTATGTAAGAAGTAGACCATAATTAAATAAAATTAAGTCCGTGCGGCTGGATGCAAACATGCACTCAACTATAGGAAAATTCATGTGTATCTGTGAATACTGACACAGGAATACTTCTTCCATCTAACAGCACAAAACACACACTGCACAGAGAGGCTGTGGAGTCTCCATCCACACTCGGAACCCAACCACGTATGATGCCAGGCAACCTGCTCCAGGTGACCTTGCTCAAGGCAGAGGGGTTGGACTACATGATCTCAAGAGGTCTTTTCCAACCTCATCTATCCTGTGACTTTGTAAGGGTCATCGGTAGTTCATGTACATACACACAGGCATTATCAAGTAAGCCTGTTTCCGAAACCATTACAATTTTTCCCAATGAAAATAAAATCCCTGAAGTAACCCCCCTAACATAAGCCTTCAGAAATATTTTGGCCTGACCCACTTCAGATTTTGAAAAAAACAGCTTGCAAATGTGACACGCATATGGGCACAGCTACATACATATGTGTAAAATCTCCTGAAAAAAAAATTATGTAAACAAACTATATAGTCTATATCATCTAAAAGATTATTATTTAAAATGATTCTCTCTTCCTGGATGTATTAAAAGTGTAACACTGTAAGGTATTTTGCATCAATAAGTAGAAGAGCAACTAAAATAAGCAACTTACTTTTGGACAGCAACACATTTGTCTCTAACACCAAGTGCTCTGGAATTTAGGAAGTGCACTGGATGACATTTATGAAATACTTCCTAACAAAAAAGAGTAAGATATATCTGTTATTAGATCTAACAGTTCTTCTAAAATGCTTAGGAATAAAATTGACAGATGTTACCCCTCCCCTTCAGCAAATTTATCAGAGGTACAAAAGCCTAAGAATAGAATTAGCCATTCCAAATTTTACTGTAGAGATTTCAGGAGAAAAAACAGATTATTTTAATTCTAAGTCTTACAAAATGGTATGAAACAAGCTTGAAAAAGGGTTGGAAAACTGCAGAGAAAGGAGGTTGAGTATGAAGTAAGAAGATAGATACTAGTTTTACTTCAGGTAAACCTAGTCCTTTGTACCTGTTGCAGTAACGTCAGCTGACAACAAAGTTGTTGCACACTGTATTCTATTAAGAGATAGGGTCCCACTTCATCTGCTTTAGCAAAGGAGACTGGGAAATCTTCTGTAAAGCTGTTATAGCATGGCTTTGGCAAAACTGATGAAATAGTGTACAGTTGCTCTCTCGGACATTGTGCAATTGGTCCCATACCTTTGGAAAGTTTCCAGTTAAAGTTCTGTAAGAAGAAAACATGTAAAACTATAACTTCCCTAAAGCAAACATTATGTCTACAATTGATTTAACTTTCTGGAACGTTTTGTTAGAGAAACACCTTTGCAGATGGAAAAGTCTTCAACTAATCTTCAAGGTTAGCCCAGACACTAATTAGTTTATTCAACGTGGCTATTTTAAGCTAATATAATAAGCACTATTGATGAGTCTGATCAGAAGGTTACCAGATCTCAATCAACAATCCAAGCTTGCTGCCATGAAATAATTCACGTTCTGAAGTTTTGCATTTTATGCTTTACTTCTTATTGTCTCTATTTCTCGCACTCATTTTGCTCAGAATTGAAGAGCCCTTTCCAAAGAAATATTTGTTTTTCCATTCTCCTCCCTTCTTTTACCATCCAGTATCAGTGCATTGACAATAAGAAGTCCATGCTTTTCTATTCTGTTTTTCCTTTATTGATTGAATTCCAATTATATCCCATGGAATTCTGCACCTTCATCAAGAAAATTATTTTAAATTCAATCTGCACATTATTGATACATTTGACTTCCACATATCACTTTGGTCACTCTGTAGAGAGATCTTTTTCTCAGGAAAAGCTTACAGTATACTCTAGCTTCTGGGGCTATTTTCTGTAGTACACTATATGAACCAGTAAATACAGGCAAGCTTTGAAGTTCTAGCAGGCAAGCCCTCACCCACCACTGTTTTCCCTTATCTATAGACTTACAAAGATATATGGCTAATAAAAAGTATTAATGTTTTACAAGTGGGAAAATGGCTCCAAGTAACTGTGAGTTACATGTTAGCATCAAGGATGAAGTGTTCAATTCCTCTCAGAATTTTGATTATAGGATCTATTATTACTGAAACAGCTGATGGGGTGCAATTAAGGCTTAAGATGACTTAGGCCTTAGATACTTTCAAAAGAAAGTTTACAATGTAGGCACATAAATTTTGCTAAATCAGGGTGTAGGTCCTAAGAGGGATACTCTAGTTTTTGTTAGAAAATAACATAATGGAGACATGCTCCCTATACTGCAGTCTGAAGAAAAGACATGCCTTTCTGGAAACATCTTCTGAGAGCTTTTTACACAGAGAATGTAACGCTTTTCTATCCTTGTCCTCCTCTTCACATTTGTCCATGCTGGAGCACTGATGAGCACTCCCACTTTTTCTAGCAGAAACATCCTCAAGCAATGACAACAAGCGCTCCCCATAGCCATTTAATGAAGCAACCTGTAAATGCAAAACAAGTTAACGTAATCTATAAGCATAACACAAGAGACACAGTTGTAAGATTCATATCTATCCAAAACTAGACATATTGAACAACGCTGTCAAAGACAGAATTGTTAGTCTTTACTTTGGACAGTTATTTTGTAATAACAATCTTACACATACCATAACTGATTTCAATTGATTTTTTTTTTTCCCCATAAAGCTTCTACTAAAATTCTGACCTACCTTGGAAGAAATAAATTCTTTTAGGGTACACAATAGATCAGTATTTGTTGCAAAGTCTACACTATAGCAGTCTTCAATCCAAGCCTGTAGGATGTAGAAACTGCGATTACATATTTTGGTAAGTGATGTAGAAGGATCCAGGCTTGCACTGGTGAGAATAAAAAGGCACTTATTGAATCAAAATTGATATCCAATTCCAATTTAAAAAATAAGTGTTGAAACAAACACCAGTATTATTTGGTACTGACAATACTTTCTTAAATTCCTAAATTTCATGTCTCTGTTTTCCATGGCTTTACAGAAACAAAGTCGCAGTTTTACTTACACCCTATCACAGAAAAACTGGCAAAAGATTCAGATTCAGAAGAAAATAGAAGTAAGCACATTGTCACATATAGCACTCACTCTAGTTTCACTCTTACTTGTCAAGAGAGTCTTACAAAAGCAAATACCAAAATTCAATTTAGTTAAGTAGTTCTTTTCAGAAACAGCTATTTGCAAATGGAGGAAAAGTCAATTGTGCTTTGATAATATTTTTCCACAGGAAATTACTTTACCTGGATAAAGTGCTGCTGATTCTATCAAGAAGAAACTGCAAAAATTCCTCTTGTGTGCAGAAATAGCGAAATGTGTAGAGAAACTGCTGTACATAACCTTCTAAAAATGCATTTCTGTGAAGCACAAGAAAGACTTCAGATAAGCAAGAACACTGTTTCTTCTTGCATTAGACTACAACAACAGCAAACAAATCCTCAAAATATCAAGAATTAATAGGGATTTTAAATTCTCAAGCTCTACGTAAAACCTTGATTCCCTTTTACTTTATTTTTACACATCAAATACTGTCAAGACTGAAAGCATCATTTGTCTTTAAAAAAGTTTCTCTACCTTTTTTGTGAAGAATCACTTTGATATTTCTATTATTATCAGAAGTTACACGCTAAATAGTATGGAAGAACATATTTAATTTTCTTTTTTATTATCTCACTTGATGTTTTTATTTTAAGAGCAAAAACATAGATACTTGAAGTAAGAAAATATTTCCTGTAACTCCCATTAGAGCAGCAGTTTCTTTAGCAACAGAATATACTTATTATATACACATTAAAAATGACTGTGTTGTGTATAAAAAAAACTCCAGACACACACAAGGTCTTGATATATGTTAATTACCATGCCTCCCTGATGGGTTACGGCTAACCATGAAAGTTTGCGTTTGATGAATATGGAAGTTCTGATTCCAAAACAATTTGTTCACTTTGTGCAAAATATTAACTGCCAGGAAAAGAAGCACTCGGGATGAGTTACTGGGTCTCAGAGTAGGATGAGCTGGGAGAAGCAACTGGAAGTTGCTCCCTTTACAGTGGCACAAGTCTGATGGAGTCTCTCGGGAAGTTCTCATGTGTGTCTGAACTCAGGCACTTTCAAGTCTGATTGAGCCTCTCAGGCAGTTTCCACCCTTCATACTGCTATGGCTCAGGTACCGTAAAAAAACCCACTGCTCTCACCCTAAGTGAAGGTTAAAGGATATCTTTATCTCTGTTTTAGGCCTGAGATAAGTCTGCATCTTGAGCAGTCCCAAGGACCCGGGCAATAATCTGTAAAACAGAATCTATGTTTTCACATCCAGAACCTATTAATAAACATTATCAAATTATATGTTCTGGAAATTGTTATACTGCTGGCAGTAACATAAAGCCTTGATTCCATGGCAACTATCAGAGCAAAACCTCAAATAAGTAAAGTATACAAAAGTTTAAAGTTTCTAGTTTCTAGTTTCTGATTTATTATCAAATGCTTTGAGTTTTAATCAAATCCAAACTTTATCAGACTGTCTTCTGCTAGTTCCATGCCTATTTCTGTAAATAAGTGTTCACAGAAAAAACATCAAACTTTATACAAGAGAGGACAATTTATGCAAAGTTGAGTAACTAGGATTTATCACTGAGATTGTTTTTTCCTGAATTAGCAACTGTCTCAATCCACTCCCAATTAAGGATGTGCGAAATATACTATACCTAGAATATAAATAAGCCATTAAACCAAGTGGTGTACCGGCCTGCAGAACTCTCACTCGATTTTGATTGTTACACTGGTGTTTCTCTGTGTTATAGAAAAGAAGCAATGACGACTCATTTGTAGATGCCACATTCACGGTGTCAGTTTTCCTGTGGTGAACGACTGTAGGCAGCACACAGGATTCCACACCCCACTGCTCTGCATACATGATCTGCTCAAAGCCATGAAAAAATAAAACATACGAAAATAAAGACGAAAATCCACACAACATGCAGTCAACTTAAAGCCAAATCACATTTCATACAATTACAGAATCACAGAATGTTAGGGGTTGGAAGGGATCTCAGAAGATCATCTAGTCCAACCCCCCTGCCAGAGCAGGATCACCTAGAGCAGGTCACACAGGAATGCATCCAGGTGGGTTTTGAATGTCTCCAAAGAAGGAGGCTCTACAGCTTTTCTAGGCAGCCTCTTCCAGTGCTCTGTCACCTTCACAGTGAAAAAGCTTTTCCTTGTGTTTACATGGAACCTCCTATGCCTCCAGCTTGCATCCGTTGGCCCTTGTCCTGTCATTGGACATCACTGAGAAGAGCCTGGCTCCGTCCTTCTGACACTCGCCCTTTACACATTTGTAAACATTAATGAGGTCACCCCTCAGTCTCCCCTCTTCAGCGCCTTCAGCCCTTCCTCATAAGGGAGATGTTCCACTCCCTTTATCATCTTTGTGGCTCTGCGCTGGACTCTCTCCAGCAGTTCCCTATCCTTCTTGAACTGAGGGGCCCAAAACTGGACACAATATTCCAGATGTGGCCTCACCAGGGCAGAGTAGAGGGACAGGAGAACCTCTCTCAACCTACTAACCACATCCCTTCTAATAGACCTTTTTAAACAATACTAGTAGTCATCACCTTTATTCTAATAGTTCTAGATCCTACTAAATTTGACACTTTGACGCAAAACATTTCACATTTCATGTACTGAGTTCAGCAGCCAATTACACTGATGCAGTAATAAAATGACAAACAAAATGAAGTCTGACTTGCCTGCACATATTTTTTCACCAGTTCAAGAAACTGCACTTTTGATTTCATCTCCTGTAGCTGTTGTCTCACTTTGGGCAACATAGATTTAGTTTGATCAGGACCTTTAGATTTAAAATACACAACATAAGAACATCAATGATTCTGATTTACAGGAAAAAAAATTATTCAAAAGTACTATGCACCCATTTCATTACTGGCAAGTTGCTGTAATCTTACCTTTGCTTCTTCTTTCTTTCTGCAATAGTTTCTGGTAAAACTTTATAGTTTTTCTGTAATTTTTTGTCTCCATCATTAGTAATTGTTCTAGTTCCTATTTAAAGAGAAAAGATTCTGATCAAACAGTAAATGCAAGGCTCTCATAGGAAATCAAAGTTTTAGAAGAAAATTGTTTTATATGAACAAAAGAATGTCCTAACAGACAAGATTAAATTAACCAGGAGAAACTACCTTTCACACCTGTGCTTACCAACAAGTTACAGAAGCCAGTACCTGTCCCCAGAAAAGCATTAATTATGCCACAGTTCTACAGCTTAAAAATTGCAGCTGATTTGTGTATGAGACTACACTGAAGTTTGTCTGAATACATTTACATAAACATGCCTTTAGTTACAATAGCACATATCTGGTTGTTTTCAAGAGCATTTTCAAAAGTTACACGCAGAAGTCATCCAGAATTAAAAGTGATGGGTCCTGAAATCAGTGCAGACCCCAGGAATACACTGTTAAACAACAGACCTACATTTGCAGCAAGAATTGAATGTTTGACTGAAAGCGATGGTTTCCAAACAAGTATAATTACATTATGTTATACAACTAGGTCAGAAGGCAGACAGGAGAGCTGCTCTATAAATAAAGGACATAATTTTGAAGTTCAGCTTACATATTTTATATTTATGCTTTTTACATAATTGAAAACAACAAACTAGATTTCTATAGAATTATATAACTTAAGTAACGGAAAGAAACGAAAGTATATCAGGCTTCTCACAATAATACCAAATTTATTGCAAACACTTATAATCGTTTGCACTTCAAAGGTTTCATTATTCTACCAACCAATGAAAATGGGCCATCCACTTTGGGTTCAGCTTCTGATTTAATATGAAACACCAAATATGATGTGTGCTGTGTTTTATAAAAGTGGTAGCTCTTGCACTTGGGTCCTAAGCTAACTACCAGTGACCCAGTTACATGAAACTGCATTTTAAATGGAGTAAGTTCACTGAACGCCGGCAGAGAGAACTCCCATAAGCAGAGTGATCAGAAAACACATAGCTCAGAGCTAACCATATCAAACAACAGATTGGTAAATAGGTTAGCTTTAATGGGATGGACTTACGATAAATTAATTTGAGTTTTAGAAAAACCTGTCACTTTTTCAGAAAAGCTCAAAAGGTCTAACAACATAGTTCATTAGCAACAACAGTCACAAAAGCCCTGTGGATTTTCAGAAGGCTTACTGCTATATAGGCATCACACAGAGCAGAGTGAAACCACAGAAAAGCTATTATCCACTTTCCGAATTGGAAATTAATTGCTTTTAATTAAAAGTTTATTTTTGTTTCATCAATTGAAGTGAAACCAAGTTGATTAAGAAACTTTAAACACAGAAAGGGAATCAAAGAGCAGCCATTTGCTGATGGGCGTTTGGAATTTGACAGGCATAAAATGTTTGTCCCATAAATAAGTTCAGGTAAGTAGCAATGAAGTCAGTAGGAAATTCCCAGACTATTTCATGTCATCTTCCATTTTTGACAGGTCTAGAATCCAAACATTTTTGACGAAGCTATACATTTAATTGTTCTGCTCCCTCTGAAGTACATTTAATTTGTCAGGACACTTTTCTATAGAACATCCCTTAGTCTAGGGAACAAAGTAATGATAAAGTGACTTTGTTTCCTTAGGAAAATTGCAAATTTCAATCTGTCCTTGAAGTCTAAGGTTTTTTTTTTTTTTACATGCTGAAGGGTAGCTCCACCAGAGGATGCAGAACATTGGCAGAAGGGAAAGGAACAGACAAAAGGAATGGGAAAGGTAAAACTGTGGCCAGAATATGTAAAATCTTTGCTAGAAATGTCCTAGTCACAGCTTGGTGAGTTTGGTGGAGACTCTTACAAGTAGCTTATTAGATCTAGGGGATAACTGAAACCTGGTGGGGGTAAAAAGGAAAAAGGCAAAGGCTAAGGGTGAAGGCTTGAGGCTGCAAGAGAACTGAAGTCAGCTTTCCAGACTACAGAAAAAAAGCTCCTGTCATCATGAGGGCAGACTTAGACATCTCTGGAGAAAAGCCAGCCCTGATAGCTGCTTCCCCTTCTTGCTCTGCTTCAAGGACTTAGTTTGGTTTGTCTGGATGCACTCTATGTGAGGGCGCAAAATCAGCAGCTGCTGGACTATAGGTGCTGTGAGGAAGGGAATATCCACCTGCCTAAGGATTAACATTTCTAAAAGCTGATTAACCTTGCTGATCTTTAGAATCTCAGAGAATCATCTGATAAGTACCCACACAGTAAAACATTAATTATTACATTTGAAAGTGTTACCTTGATCCACAAATAATTTATTTTTTATGCTAGCTACTTCACATTCCTTCCAAATGTTAGAAGTCATATGGATAGTGCCACTAAGTCAGGAAAAATACAGTTAGCTCAAATGTCTATCTTTAAACACATTTTGAAATAGCAACTCCTAAACACTGCTTTAGCACACTTTCCTGCAAAGCTGTAGAATCAGCTCAACTTTACTACTGCCGTATTTTTAAAAATCTGTCAGAGACCTGATGCAAAAAGTAGGTTGATGCAATCCTTGCCCGAAAATGAAAACTGGACTACAGTTAATCAAGGAACTTGTTTCTGAAATAAAGCTGGTTAATGGATGATTTAAACAAGGAAGGACAGGGTGCAGACAAACAGCTGTACCTTGCAAAGAGGCAGAACCTTCTTCCTGCAACTCAAACCATCTTCCTACTCTGTAAAACAGACACTTAACAGGCCTTCCTTTGGACTTTGTAGTCCTCCTGGGCACATTTTCTCCACTAGATTTTACAATGAGAAGTTGGCAACTAGAATAATTAACTTTTTTGAGCTTCTACTTTGGCAGAGAACTCATGTTAATTTTCACATTGAGATTATTTTCTCAGTGTTTTGGTTCAGACAGTGCATTCCCTTGAAATTTGCACAGTTCTTATTAATGGTTTACACAGTAACAGTGTTAACACTTCGTAAATGCCAGTGATTAACATCACACTTATTTTCTAAATAAAATGTACTCCAAGTATAACATGTATAAATGTTCATATTGTCAAATAAAACTACCTAAAAACACTTTGCTGTACAAATACAGCTGTTGGCTACATCCAAGTACAACAAAATGCAAGGATTTATAAATGTTAAATTCTACCCCTATCAACAGTACCAGCAACATCCATATTGTTCAAAATGAGATATGAACTGGTCACTGTCTGCTGCTGGTATGGAGATGAAATTCATGCTATACACCTCCACAGTTAATTTGTAGTGTTTGTTTGATGAAACAGGCAGCAAAGAGACAGCAGAAAGAGGCTGGGTAGAGCTGCTTATCATCTACAAGTTGATAATTGTCTGACAGCTAAGAATCATTGTCTCCTGACTGAAGCAACAGCAGAAAAATAAATTTCAGTTTCATATTTGTTTTCTGTCTTTCTTATAGATATTCACCAGTTACAACTTATAACAGTTCATCTTGCTTCAGTAATATCGCTAATAGTTTATTTCTGAAATTGTCATGACTGATGGCATTTGGAAAAAAAGCAGGAAGGTTTTCTTTTCTTTTTTTCTTTTTTTTTTAGGAAGGTTTTCTTTGCTCAGGTTAAATCTTCAAGGTTGCTGCAATTAGAATGTTATGATTCTGTAGGCTTTTATTTTAAACTCATTTGCAAGAAGCTGAGTTTCACAGAAAGTCAGTGCTGTAGTAACACCAACATAAAGATTAAAGTTGTTGATGCTATGATAACGAAAGAAATAAAAATACTCATAAGACCAAGAAATAACATAAAGTATTCTCAGTTGAATTTGTAGTAACAAGACACTTGAAAGTCATTTTTAATTAGAAAAAATGAAAGAACTTTTAATACATTACTAACAATGTTTAAGATTATACACCTGAATACTCTAGTAAACCAAGACTTTTTTATATCAACAGTACAACTGAGAATATATGTATCTGCACATAGATGCTTTGACTCCAACTGAGAATTACAGTTTATAACTGTATTCCTTGTAACTTGGACACAAAAGGATCTCACTAATTAGGAAGATTATTTATAGAAGATACCAAGCCTCTCCTGTCTGCAAATAATGACTTTAGTTTTGTTTGTCCACCTGGCCTCATATGCAGTCCAGAACACACAGATTATTTTTGCATTAAGGAGACAAAATAAGGTTAGTCTCATTTTTGTCCAGTTATTAACATTTCACACTAATTTAAGATAATACAAGGAAGATTAGTTCACTCATCCTGGGAGTAGTCTGCATCTTTTTCAGCCATCCAAATGTGTGCTCTCTTGCTCTCCAAATGAATTGTTTACTAAATGCTAAACTGAATGAGTTGCACTTTGTATCAATAATAATATTCCTTCAGTGCAATGTACTGGACATGAACACAATCTATTTTTCTACAGAGATATCTTAATTATTTTCCCCCCAGTCTCCCATGTGGTTATTCGGTTAGCAAAGTTCTTATGCATTAATGCATATAGTAGCAATGTATAAGAGCATGCACTAATTTCACAAGCAAATTTCAAAGCAGACTGTAAGCACCATAAATCTGTTTTCCCAAGAACTCAGAAGACAATTTATCCTTTTGAATCAAACTAAGTCACTGAGTTGTCTGTAAAATATCAGAGTAAACAGGACTTCCTGTTGAAACAGAAAAATCTATTTAGATGTTTCTGCAAACTCATGACTTGTGGAAATCTGTTCTTCAGTCCAGAATTACTCCTCCAAGTAAGGGAAACTATGCTAGCCAATTTTTCTCTGGTTGGTATGCTAACACAGGATTAAACAGCCCTAAAGGATCAGAAATAAGAATTTTCCAGTAGATGGAAATTCGAGAGTGACAGTCCTGCACACTTTTTATCACTATTTATTTATATATTTTTACACCAACCAAGGTCAAGCTTCTCACACTATTTTCTCCTATAGATTTACAGCTGAACATTAAGGAGAAAAACCTCAGGTAGAACACCCTCAGCGATTCAGGCTTTAACTTGCCTCACAACAGAAAAATAGTTATATTTTTTCACTGAAAACTGAAGTGCGACCACAGCGCTTCAAAAAAAAAGTGGCAAATAGATCCACTGGGATTTAAACTGGCTATGTGGAAACAGAGAAGTCTCGATTGCCTTCTCAAGCTGTTCAGTTCTACTTTGTCAAGTTCACTTAAAAAAATAAAGCAGTAAATTCAACTAACTGCACACAGTAAGGAAATCCACAGAGCACTGCAACTCCTGCTTCACCTTTATTAAACATGTAACTGGCAGAAACAATAAAAATATACAAATTAGCCCTTCTCAGGGACACAAAAAGATTCCAGGTGTCCCTATACAAATAGGTTTTCAAGTATTAATAATTCATTTACTTAAATTTTCCTTCACATGAACCAGGTCCAACTACACAGATTTCTACAGTTTCATGTATTATCCTTACGCAATGGCTTTGGACTTGAAATATTTAGGAAAAATATTTACATACTGAAGCTTGCTATAGATATATGTACAAATGTAAGAATTATACAGATGTGATCAAAACGAACTTTAAAAGGATGGAAGACCTTGCTAATTTAACACAACTAACCACCCTACCTATGCTCCCCAAGCTGCTTAAAAGACACGAGGCTACATCATGATGATTAACGGTCTCCAAGAGAACACGCAAACAGATAACTGCCATTCTGCTGGCAAATGGTGAGAAGTTGTCAGGCAATTCACTGTGACCAAGGAAAGGGGCTCAGAGCACATGACAGGGCACAGGACCTCTTGGGAGCCTAGGATAAACACCAATTACTATAATTCTTAGGTCTCACAACTGTGGGGTTGGTGCATACCACAGATGGCACTTTTCTAGTCAGCTCCAAGAGAAGGAGGGTTGTAGTCAGTGATTACCAATTTCATGTCAGTGCTCTTTATTTTGGAATACTATCCTTACCCTGCTTTATTGATACGACACCTCAAATCTTGAGGATTTTAAAACACTTAAGAGGCGGTATTTAAAAGAAGAAAGGGAGCTTCAACTTAGCATAAGACAACAAACATCAGACTTTTAACCAGCAAGTAAAGAGTTATCATCTATCTTAATGTTATAAAATCAATGTACTCACCACTTTTTTAGCATCTATATTTTGTGACTCACTTGATTTCTGCTTTCCAAGGTTTTCCATGTAACTATGAACTTCTGAATCAAAACATTCAGCTCCATAAAACGCACTGCTCCAACCAGGACTACAGCCATGAAAGTCAGGTAGACTGGGAGACACAAGGTAGCTGTTTCCAGCTATCTTTATCATGGCCTCTTCCTCTGGGCCCGTATTTTCTTCTGCAAAGCCCGGATCAATACAACAGCTGTTGCTTTGTAAACATTGTCCCTCTTTCTCTATGGGGACAGTATTCTGCAGCCTCAAATCTTTTTTGGTACCATCCAAAGGTGATTCATCAAAATCCATTTCAGTTAATGACGTATTTATCATAGGCTCAACCTTCACATCAGAGGTTGCTTCCCTTTCTCCTAAAGAAGGCATATAGTGGGGAAAGAAATAATGGTCATGTTCTGCAATGCATGTTTTATTGAACTTGAACTCTACACATAGAAAATAGTTATGAGACTATCTATGCCCTCTAACAGTGGCATTGGATGCTTCTTTTGTCTCTGCTTTCTTTTTCTCAGCTACACATTGCAAAATGATAAAGTCCAAAGACATTTCAGAACTATTAAGAAATAGTCAAGCAATACATTTCTGAAAATTACAAAATATCTTCTGTGCATTAGCAACAAGCACTTAAAGAAAGTACAGAAGCTTTCAACAAAAAGTTAAGTATGTCAGACCTGTGTACGCGTTAGTAAAAAGGTTGACTCTTGAGGGTTTTTCCATCTATAAGTCCTGAAGCTTTTATTGCATACAGAGGGCAAGAATACTTGATTCAGTCAAAAGGGGACACAGATGTTAAACTTTCAATGACTCACTCCCTTGGCTTCTTTGCAGTTCTAACAGGTACTACCAATCTTAAGGGACCGAGGTGACAGTCAAAGGTTGATATGATGCTGACAGGAGCTTTTTTACCTGCCAGAACTCTCCCTTTTCACTTGAGCAACCCTCCAGGGCTTAGATATGACACCCTGCAGTCAAACGGACCTAAATTCCTCATGCAAAGAAATCACATACCCCACAGGAAAGCCTGCAATCATTCTGAGCCAAAATGGAAAACTGTAACATAGAATGACAGCAGTCAAGTGCAAACTTACAAATTTATGTTTTGCCAGAGGAGTTAACAATGTATGGACATAAACCATTCTATAAAGATCATAAATTTAACTTTTCTCAAATCAGAGAACTAGCCAAATGGTCAAAAAATGGCTGAACTATCTTGAAAAAAAACCCAACTGATACAACAACCAAATACAAGCTGTCCATGAATATATCAAGCCTAGAAAGTATAATGATATTGTTATAACAATGGGATTTACCAGTCCCAGCTCAGTTTTGAGTTCAGTTACTGAACCTTCAATCATAAAATATACCAGAAAAAAACACAAAACCCATAATGAAGAAGTACAAATAAACAACCACTAATATAATCTCAATGACTGCCCTGAAATGGTGTCCTGTAGCCAGGTTTGTGTTCAAAAGGGAAAATTATCAAATCGTTTGTCCCACTGTTCATTTTGCTATCTATCTTTAAAAAGGCACTTCAGTGGAAAGAACAGGGAAGTGGAGGAAATTCTAAGAGAGATAAAGACTTCTATCTTACCTGTTTGTGAAACCCCCTTTTGATGAATATTTGAATCCAAAAGCAATTCCCCTTCCCAGAATTTGTAAATAATTTTATTGGCAATATTTTTTTATTTTAATACATTTTATTTTACTGACTATTTTTCCTTTAACTCTGATAAGAGTAAAGAAGGACCAGATTTGTTTCACAGTCGTCCTTCAATCAATCCTCAACTTCTTCAGTAACATTTGAAGAGTCACAGGTATCTTCTAAAGCTCTCCTTTTTGCCTAGCTAAGCTTGCTTCATTCTGTGGACCTGACTTAGTATGACAGGCCTCCCTCCCTCTCCCTACTTTATAGCACGTGACTACAACAACTACTGGATGAACACAAGAAAAATCATATGTAGCAGTCAGAGTGGTGATCTCTCAAAACTTGTGTCATTGGTAGATTCCTAGCACACAAAAAGATGTAGAAACATGAAGTCCCTTCTCACCCTCTGTCTGATCACTGCTTGCCACAAAGCTATCAGATTTCTTCAGATCTTGGAATACATTGCCACACTTTGAACCATCTGCCTCGGTTACGCTGAAAATACAAGATTAGGAAAAAATAATTTTTCATGAACTTCTATATTTACATGAGTAAAATGAGATCTTACAAATAACTCTACCATGTATGTGAAGGGCTTCATAGCATATATTTACCTCCTGAAGTTTGTTATTACCTCCTTCAGTTGTTATTTTAGAAGAATCAAAATGTTCAAATGGACATTAGAGCACACTGAGTAAGATCCAGAGATTTTCCTTCAGTTTTTGGCAAAATTCTGATAGAAGCATCAGAATACATACAAACAGACAGTGTAACTCCAGACATAATTTAGACTGCAAATTATTGTAATGGCTTTTTCACTCAGGATTCTACCTCCAGGTAACAGTTTAAATCTAAGTCATCCCTAATAAGAATAATCATAACTTTAAGTAACAATTCAAAACTGCTATATTCTTTGTCTAAAGAATATTAAGTAATCAGTATCTCAGAGATATTCTGAGGCGGTTCTTGTGTGTGATCTAAAAGCTAGACCTGTATTTTTATACTGGATAATAAATGATCATTTCCTTTTCACTCCTACTTTCAAAAACTTCACTTTGTAACAAAAGTTCATACAAAGGATGAGCTCTTTGTCTATGTCAGTAATTCAGGTGCAACAGCTCAAGTTTCTCCTACCATAACATTCAACTCTGAGGAATTAAGAGCCTAACTTCCAACCAGTTTTCAATTGCTCCTTAAAAAAAACAACCCAAATAGGAAAGAGGTGAGCATGTCAGGGTTTGACATCTGGAGGTTGCAATCTATTCTTTCTGAAGTTTGCTGTAAGGATTACACATCTTTTAACATAGCTACCGAGCTTCTTTGTCGAAACTTCCAATTTGTAGTTCCAGACCATGACAGAAAAAAACCCTCATACATAAAACCCCTATACATAATTTCCACGTATGAACTGAAACAGGATAAGCAAACTGAACGCTAAGACCAATATATTCCACTTCTGATTAAACAGTCTCTTTCTAACAAGACTAAGAAAGGTCTCCATCAAAGGCTGAAAACAATATTGATCAGAATTAGGTTTTATTCAGCTATCCTAAGATGAAGTTACAGAAAAGCTTAATAGAAAACATTTTCTGCTAAGCCATTAAGCACCATTTGCTATGAGGAAAGCCACAACGAATAGACTGGGAAATAAACAGTTGGCAGGAAATAAATAAGGATACTTGAAGAGAAGCAGCATATCCTTTCCTACTTCTTAGAAGTAAGGAGAAAAACACTAAATTCAACTGTAAGAAGGAAAAAATTGAAGAACACCTACCATAAATGTGAAGGTCTTTCTCCATTTACTACCCGATAGAGATTCTCTAGTAATTTTTCATCCCAGTAGAGGTCACAAAACTTTTCACAAATTGCATCAGAGAATATACCAAACTTAATTTCCTTTAAGTTTAAAATGAAGTTACCTTGTTTAAATAAAGAAACAGAAAGAGAGAAAATAAGTATTAATAACAATATTCTTACACACCAATGACAGTAAAAGACAGAAAATATACATACCCATATCAAAAACTTCAACTCCATTCTCTAGATAACCATCAAATGCAAACTCCTCTTGTATAAGATGGATCACTTCCTGCAGCAAAGCATTGTTCATTCTGTTCTGCTGCGCCAGGACTTCAACACCAAAGAGATGAGAACTGTCTTGATTCACTGAGGAGCATGGTGGGTGTTTCTGTTCAGTGAAAATACTGTCTACACTAGTAGCACACCCAATTTCTTGGCAGTCAGTTTGAACAAGTGGGTTACATTTATCAAACTTGTTGTGTGTATTAGTAGTCTCACAGTTTTGAACACTGCAGAGGGAGGCATCGTTTTCTATCTGCATGCTTGTTTTATAACTTGCAACAGTACTTGAAAGTAGCATTGGCAAACTATGATAACAATCATAAGCAATTCTTGAACGAAGCGGTTTATTTGGTATTTGCTCTGATACAGCTAAATGTACTGGTACAACTGTCAAAACCCTTTTCTCTGAGTCTTGTTTGAGAATGATGTTATTTATATGAACAAAATTAGGAGATGTAGGACAAGCTAAGGAGCTGGAAGGAACTTCAGATAAAATGCTCTTTACCTGTAGAATATGTGAGGAATCGGATGGTGATGGTAACGTAACTATAGAAGTAAATGTATTGCCTGACTTTTCCTCTTCTGAAGGTACCTTGGATGAGTGGCCTGGAACTTGCAAATCACACTCAGGTACTCCAGGTGCGGTTTCAACAACATCTGTATCCTTGGTATCAAAGCTTTTAGAGTCTTCTATATACCCTGATTGGTTGTGGTCCACATGTTTTTCTTTTCTTGTGTCTTTCTTGAATTGCTCAGAAACTGACGTATGAACTTCTCTGAAAAGGAACAAATAAAATCTTTTTAGGACAATTCCAGTATATTTAACAATGAAGTCTCAAGTTTAACCTATTCTATTTTAAGATATACTAACTTTGTTATGTTTGCATTTTGTTGCAGAATAATAGGCTTAAAGTGAGTTGCAGGAGAGGTGAATGCAACAGGCAATGTAGCTTTCTCACAGTTTAGAGAAATCTGGCATGGTACTGGTCCTTTAACTGCTACAAGTTTACTTTCACCGGTAATAGGCACAAATCCTAAAAGCAAAAACACAGTTAGAAAAATGAACAATAGGTAAATAATAATCATTTTAGAAAAAAAGGAACTGTGTACCTGACTATCACCAGAGAACTCATCTAGAGAACATTAAAGCAAAATAAACACATCAGAGTCTGACTGCTTACCGAGACTTGACTCTGAAGGGTCCATTTCATGTCCTTCATTTTTCAATTCACAAGCAACATGATCCTGAGATGAGACTACTTCCTCAGCAGCCTAACAATAAAAATTGAAGTCCAAATGGAATTCATTACCATTTTCTTTTTTTTTTTTTTTTAAATTCCACTCAGCACATTACTTCAAGAAAAAAAACCATACATCCCCCATAAACTTAGACTGCTGCAAAGCAACAGCATAGTTATGCCAAGGTGGTGAATTAAAACAAATGACATACAAAACTCTAAGGACTAGTAGGACTGTTTGGAAATCTTGGTAACCCTCACATCAGAACTTTCAGGTAATCAAAGTTTTGAACAAAGTCAGTGCCAAAAACTGACTAACACTGTGCATTATATACAGGTACCTGAAACATAAACAGAATACAACAATTACATATTAATGTCTTCTATTCCAATAAGAGAGCTGCTAAATGAAAGACAGATTATGAAATCAAGTCACTGCATCTTCACCCATACAGACTGTGGAGTCAACGCACCAATATCTGAGGAGTGACCACTACAATAGCAAGAACTAGAAAAAAAGCAACACTTAAAGACTCCTTGAGAATAAACAAATAAACACATAATTAAATAGAGCAAAATCTAACCATATTTGCAGGAGACAAAATCTTGCTGGAATACAATTTACAGAACTAATTGAAAAAACACAGAGAATTAAAAAAGGTGGCACTCTTACCTTAAAGACAGATTTATTCAACGACGTCAAAATAGTTTTGCTGTTTATACCTTGTTCAAGTAAATAATGATTGCTTGACTAAAAAAAAATTTAAAAATAAATCATAATTTTCAATCAGTAAGTTTTCAGTCAAGTGAAGTATTCTTGGACAAGGACAAAGCCAATATAAGTAGTCCATTAGAAGTAATCTAAGTATGAGCCTATTCCAAGTACCTTATTAACAATTTCAATATAAATTAAAATCACACCCCTCTGTGTCCCTAGGGAAGTAACTTTAAAAACAAATGTCAAAGTGACTGGTTATGATTTAATTAGGTTTCAAGTCTATCACCAAAAATAAATTAATATTTTGATATTCAAATCACTAAAATGAGACTTCAGACATAAGTAGTTTTCATGTTAAATTGCTTAAATCTAGTAACCTTAACTGCATCAGCTAGGGAAGGTCTTTCTTCAGGGTTTCTTCTTGCCATATCAAGAAGAAGCTTTTTTAATTTTCTTGGCAATGCCAGTTTGTGACTCGGTGGGACACTGTGTTTTGCGGCCATCCACAGAACTGCAGCAACACCATAAATGCAGACCTATTGGTGTAACATAAGAGTCAGGAATGATGTTAATAGACCAAAAAAAGCTTCCATTTCAAAACCAATTCCAGCAAATTATCCAAAAACTCCCCTCATTCCCTGTAAAAAAAAATAAATAAAAATGACTATGGCTTCCAAAGTACAGCTCACATTTGGCTTTTGAAGGTGCTTATGAAAATCCCAGCCCACTTCAAAAAACCAGCTGTTATACATGCAGGGCCAATAATAGTAGCTTATTTGCTACTGTTGCAGCAACAAACATAATTTGTCTCACCCTTTGTCTAGGAGAATTATTCAGGAAAAAAGTGGTTTTAGAACTATTCTGAAAAATTCCTTTCTTGTGTAAAATAAAGATTGCTACAAGCCTTAGAGTTCTACCTTAAAACCTGGCCAGCTGCAATTTATTTAAAAAAGGTCATGATAATTCAGCAAGTAAATGGCAGACAGTAATTACAAGCTAGCCACTACGAGTCATATTTTGCAGAGAAGATTAGACTTATCAGAAGAAGGAGGTACTGTATATTTATTTTAGCAATTATTGTGCTACCTGCAGCTGGACCAATTGAAGTTGCCATGAGGAGGGACCTTGAAAAGAACTTGATCTTCACAAGCTTTCATGTTTTATTTGAAAAATTACAGTTTTCAGACACAGCCAGATTTAGTCTACTTAATGCTTAGTTTACATATGTTAGCAGGTACTACAGAGGCAATTTTGACAAAGTTAAAGAACCATGCTTTTTCGCATTGCCTCTGAAAGATATTAAAAATGCTCGAGGGACAGAAACTCAAGCACAATACTAAATATTGTGGTCCTATAAAACAATGCTTTCTCTTTTTATTCTTCTGAGCAAAGTGAACAGCAATGAACACAACATAACAAGGAAGTTCATGATAAAGAAAATAAACTGTGAAGCCTTTGAACTGTTGAACAAAAGCTGCTAATAGGTACAAAAATATTTGAAATAGGAGAAAGCAGCTCCACCAAATCAAAATAGAACAATTTCTTCCTCTTAGGTTTAGAATTTCAAGAGGTCAACAGGATCACAAATTTAATGTGAATTTATTTATTTATGATAACCTTGTCACCCAATTCAGCACATCCTTCAAAAAAAATCCTTTTACTGAGGTAGTATAGTTATTATGATTGGCACATACCATAGTTCTAACTAAATGTCCCTAACAACCAGAAAGATATATAAGTATCAGGAAGAAGCAAAAAAAGAAAACCCAACAAAACCATCCCCAAAACCCAAATAGGTCAGCTTATTCTATATATAATGTAGAAAGACAAGGAAAAAAAAGATTACCTCAGATTTTCTAAAGAAAAAGAATAAAGCATAAAGACTTTAGGATTATTAATTTCTACTGTCTGGTGAAATTGTATTATATTTCAGGGTTAGTTTAAGCTTCTGAAGACTTTGAAAAACCTGCACATTGGATTAAAGCAATTTAAGAAGAAGTAACTTTAAAGAAGAAGATACATAAAAATTTTCTATTTACAGATAACTTTACAGAAAAGTCAAAGTCTGCCTTTAGTAGATTTTAAATGGATATTTTTTCTGATTCATGATTACTATGTCTAATTTTATAGAACACCTGGGAAGCAAGGTACATAATTAGCTAACCTCTTTTCTTGTTACATAGTACAAAGATACTGTAAATTCTGTTTTCCTAACTCTTAAGATCACTGTTGTACAGTTTACAATTCAGATGCAGTTGCAGTGGAGACAAATACTAGCTGGACAAATACATTTTTATCATCTTTAGCCTGAGAGCTCTTTATGGCTTATGTCTGTAGATAAAAGCTCTAGGAAAGCATGCTGGTAAGAGACACAGCATTCCCATAGTAAAAATATGCTGATAGTGATATTTTTATTCAGTCTTCCAAATGAGATTAATATTTGGGTTTTAGCCTAGACAGTCTAAAATATCGGTGTTAGTGTGAGCTCCAGAACATTAAAACACAACTTCAAAGTCTGTCTTATTGCTAACAAACTGAAAGTAATTAAGCCTTATGGAAAACTATTGAATCACAGATTTTTGGTAGTTATTCCAACAATTTTGGAAGGTAAAATTATTTTTCTGAAGCAACTTATTTATGGGAGATCAATATATAAAAAATCCCCACAGATAAGCACGAAATATTGGGAGAAATGGGAAGTATTATCAGAATCTTAGAAGAGTTTGGCTGTCTTCTTTAAGCAGCAGAGGGATACAAATGTCCTTTGATAAAATACACAGCAACCTACATAACCTACCACATTACCTTCTCAGTATCCACATAGTCTTCTTCAATTTCAGGAGCTAAATAAAACACATCACAGGATTCTAAATGAGAAAGGAAACCAGAAATAAAAGGTAAGATAATTTACTTCTTATCCACACACCCTCAAAAGAAATAAAAGCGGAGCGCATAATGTACCAGTTTACCTTCAGCTTTTGGAGCAGAGAAGAGGATATTTCCATGGCAGTCAATCAGCACAGAGTCCAAACATAAGACCACTGCAAAACAAATCACAAAAAAGCAAGGCATCATAAATATCTGTTCTGGTAACTATTTGACACTAACAAAAAGAAATTATTTAATTTAAAAAATAATTTGCATTGTCAGCAATTGCCCTATGATAAATGATGCTTTATAGAAAGACTAATATGGGAACAGACAAATCACCCAAAACATTTCCTGCAGAACAAAGACAAGAAAGTAAAACAAAATGGGATCACCATAAATAAAAAGGCTTAGAATACTAGAAGTTTATTCTCCTTATGTTCAGCATTGAAAAGGAAGGCCAAGGAAGGAACAAGAATAAAAATAAAATACGACAGCTAGCTGTACACAAGGCACCAATAAAAGACAGTCAATCCATCCTAAGCATTTAATCTCTTCTCTCCTCCAGCCCCGCCAAAACACAGGGTCATTACTTGGAGACAGCAGAGACGTTTGTGGCCAGATCTACAACTTCTCTAGGTGGGGTAGGATATGGAGTCCAATTTTGCATAGTCATAATCACACACACTCTTCCTCTGAAGAAGTGTTATGTAGATTGGTATTTGCAAGCCCTGAAGTTTTACATAATTAGGAAAGAAATAACAGACTTCTAAAACTATTTTAAATTATTTGAGTTCAGGAACTTAACATTAAGGTCATGAGATCACATTATACAAATTTAACAATGAAAAGCTTGTGGTGAGACTACATTTAACTGCTCGGTATCTTCAACATACGCTGTAATTTAACCTGCTTCAGTACAATAAGCAAACAGGTTAGCAATATAGCTCTGCCTCTGTAGACTATCATCAAATATGCTGTTTTCTTATTAAAAGCAGAGTACTAGGAGAATAAATCCTTACATATGTAAGAGGTTAAACCATTAAATTTATTCAATATTAAAGTGGTTTAAGAGTAATCCAAATATTCATTATTATTAAATAATAAATTAAAGATGTCTAAGAGAAAAAAGTTAAGTAAGAAAAAAGGAAATAATCCTTTTACTTTTGTGGTTACCTGTACGAAACGCATCTAAAGCCATTAAATTGTTCAGTATGCTTAACGTAAATAAAGGTTTGCCTAGTACCTTTAAACTGGACCTAAACTATGTGTCTGAAAAGCAAAGCTTTCCTGAGCAGGAAGCTTCACTAGTTATTTCTGCAGAGGCAGCAACTCTCAGGACTCTTCATGTTCACTGTTTTTGCTTCTCAAGAGTTGAAGCCTCCAGCCCTGAATCTGCAACACAGCTCACATAAACTGGATCTCAACGAGTTTAGTACAACAGAATTCTTACACGGGTTCTCTAAAGGCAACACGTAAGCAACATCCTCTGGTAAGAGGCGAGGAAATAAGTGAAGTCTCAGCAGAGGGTACGAATAACTTTTCTAGCAGGATTGAATTAAAAAAATACATAACGAGGCTAGCTGTAGCGCATATTTTCTTACACAGATAATTCCTGCTTTGGGTACTGAAAAAAATGTAATCAAAGCAGGATTTGGAAGAAAAGGCTGTCTAAGTGAATAAATAATAAATAATGCAGCTTGTTCCACATTTCATATATTTAACAATGACTCATCAGCTAACAATCTTACTCCACCAGTGTTAAGACAAAGGATATTTTAACAAACACTTTACACGATAGGAGCTTCACTTTTAATGTTAATGTTTTTAAAAAGGAATGCTGAGACAACTGTGTGTGTGCGCACTGAAGTAGTAACACCACTAAGTCATTCCACAATGCACAATTACTTTCAGAGCAGGCAGAGAATCCTCTAGCAGAAATATTCTAAATTCGAAAACAATATTCAAATGCAAGGTACGTTTATTTGTCAAATACGTAATTTTAAGGAAGGTGCCTTCCATTTAGTGGTTTATATCATTGTGTTCGCTTTTGCAGGCTACGTAAGTTTCAGATCACAACTCAGTATTTAGCATTCTGAAGACTTGCACATTCTGGGTGCATAAGTACATTAATAGAGGATGGCTAAGAATATCAAATTAGCAGCTGAGCCATTACGTGCAGTTTTTTTAAATATTCACAAATATGAAGAACATGCTATTAGGCTGAAATAATTCTTATGTTGCAAGGTATATCAATACGTAGTTTTAAGGGTAACATTACTTAAAGTGCTCAGAAATCTCCATTTATGGCCAATTTCCTTTTAGTTTTGTAACATAAAAGAAAAAATCATTGAAGCTGAAACTAAATAGATGGAGTAAGTTTTCTGTACCTTCCTGTCTAATTGTTCATAATCAGTTACAGATTTCAAAATAATTTCTGTCCAAACCCTGAAGGGTTTTAAAAATCAGTAAGAATAAAAGGCAGAGTGGTGGTGGTGGAAACCTCTGCTTTGTTTATTAGAACAGCTACACACCAACATTCAGAATTCCTACAGAAATTTAGGATGGTCTTCTCCCAAGTCACATACAACATATTCCAATTATGTCAAAGGACAGCTCCCTGTTCCTCCCTCAGAAGTTGACTTCTGATAATTCTTCCATAAACAGAAGCACAAGGGAATGTGGAAGACCCTGGATGCTTTCAACTGACAGAGCCTTGTATTGTTTAAAACACATCAGGAATCATCTGTCACAAAGAAATCCAGGCAAGAGAGGAAGTTTTATGCTTATACAGATATAAAACTTACTTCCTCCTGCTTTCTTTAAAAGGCACAGTACAGACTCTCCAACATCAAAATGTCTAAACACAAAATAAGTTTCACTCCTTGAACTCAAAAGCCATCAAAACGCAAAATAAAGAGAAGAGTCTTCTACATATGGGAAAAAAACACAGACTGAGTAAAAATTCTAAGTAGCACTTAAGAGAGTGAAGTTAGAAAAAATGTCTATTAATTTTTTTTATACACGAAGTGAAAGTCAGGGTATCTTGCATCAACAGAATAAAGAAAACAATACAGTGAACATAAATAACTAAGTAAATATTTTAAGATAGTTATACCTGGATAATCTGTGCAAGTCTGCAGACTACATAAACACTCGTGACATAACGCCCAGAGTTCATAGTCTTTCAGAGGTTTACCATATCGGGACAACAGGAGCTTTAGAGAGATCCACTGAAAAAAAAAAAAAAAGAGAGAGTGAGGATGCAGAAAGTGATTAAAAATTATTACAAACCAAAAATGTTTACTGATGCAATGAAAAAGTAAATGCTAATACAAAATGCACTCACTTAAAAAGCATTAAGAAAAAGTATTTATTGCACGTGCCGGTAATAAACTAGTAATACTTGCATAGTTAGCTAGCTGTATACATGAACCAGTAGTTGTTCCATTGCATAACAAAAATATAATTCAAATGAGATTTCAGCGAGAATAGAAGTGTTTCAGGAAAAGCGAGCTGTTTGAAAGTTCTTTCTTATCATACTACAGAAAAACTCTTGAAGAATGACAAAGATGATGTATAATTATAGGGACACCACCTAGACTTGAAAATGTAAAAATCCAAATGATCATCACCAACAAAAAAATCCCACTCAAATCCTGATTTACCCTGACAAGTTGCATTATAAGTCTTACCTTAAAGATTTCATCAACATTTCTTGTTCTTCTGTGAAAGACGTTAACAGTATTGACAGAATTAATGACAGGTTTATTTGACGTCCAAGCACGTTGTTCTGGTTTTAATCATTGGCTGCTCAATTTGTAGTAACAGCATTTGTAATCCTTGCTCTCAATTTAGCTTTCAATACCCAGCTTAACACCTTAAAGTGAAGATACTGTTCCAAGAGAACTGACTGTTCTTCAGAGAATCCGTGTTTTATGTTTTGTGATTTTTTTTTTTTTGAGGGGTGAATATAAGAACTTGACATTGATGGTACCACCCAGACACCTTCCCGATCAAGCTGTGCTAATAGAAGAACTTATTACTACTAATGGCTCTTCATATCAGCTGTAGTTAATGATATCCCTTCACCTACCAAAGGACTGGCAAAAAATTCAATGTAGGCAGAAACCTCCAGGTTAGAGCCAACCCATTCAACTACTTTAAAAAGCAGAAGAGCACATTTTCTGTTGCATATGCAGCCCTACGATAGTGAACTATCTCTAAATGTCAACTTTAGGCCATGTTGGGGAAAAGAACTGCCAGAAGCAATTCTGGATTACCTGTGAAAAAAACCAAAACCCAAAACACCAACCACCCACAACAAAACTGGAGCACAGAAGACAAAAAACTAAAACCTTTGAATTGTTCTGTTGTTTTTACAGACATCTTTATATCCCAATAGCTGTTTGTAAAATCTAAATAGATTAGTGTGTCTCTCGCATGCAATGATAGTGCATCACTACGTTTGATGAATCAATCTCTGCCCTGCCATTTACTGCAGTTAATTTGCATGATCTTATGAAACACCCTTCAGTGAGGCACTATTTGTTTTTTTTCATAAAATAGGAACAGACTGCTGCATTAACTTTCATCATGATAAACAAACAAAAATACTTTTTGCTAATTTAATTTGTACTAGAAGACCTTCTCAAGGAATGTAATACTTCGGTCTCGTCCTGTTTAAATATTCCTTGAAGATGAATCAGATGAGCTATAAATTTTTAACAAGATATGCTAGCAAATGCAGCTTTTAATTTACTTAAAGTGTTTTATATTCTGCCTACCTCCAACCTATATAAAAAAGAATTTGGTGCTTTTTTTTCTCCAAACCTTCTTTGTAGCAAAAATTAGTAACTTCAACATAAACAGATTTGAAGCCAGATAATAAGGTTAAGTTTCATTCTCAAATTGTGCTCGCACCAGCATGGAGTGCAAAATTCTTTCATCAACACGTTCCTTCATTATATCTAGAAACACAAGCTCTTGCGCTGTCTGACAAAAACACATCATTTACACAGCAGGAAGAAAAAGGACAGACAGTCAAAAGAACGAATTAGTCTAGAGAGCTAGTCTAGATAGAGCTTCATACTGCTGATTGATTACTGTCCCTGCTCAGTGCTGCATTCTCCCCTCCACAGCACCCTGGTTCTCACATGCCTCAAATGTCTTTGCTCACAGACACTTTACAATGAAAGCAGCCGCCAAATCTTCAATTTCACCTTGCACAGCTGATATGAGCGGAGAGAAATCAAAAGAGAAATTCCACAGACTGACTAGAATTTAAGAAGGTTTTGGGTTTTCGTAAAAAGTACACACCACTGCTCACATGTTTCTCTAAGAGAATCCCTCCTTTTGAAGTTTATGTCCCTAGAGGGTCTAAAAGCTGCAGCAGAGAAAGATGGACTTCCTTTATCACATATACAAATCACTTCTCACTTCTGGAGAAGGTGATGAATGGCTAGCAAGGGGAAGAAGAATCACTAAACTGGAGACTGAAGTTAGCTGTACAGCAAAAAAGCTGAAAAGTATTTCTCATCACTTCTGGAATATCCAAGCTCTCTAGAGGAAGACATGACAGAAAGAAATTTAAGCCCAGCAGGAAAGTAGGAATCAACCCTAACAGCGGCAGCAGAAGTTTATGATAAGAAAGAAGAAAGTGTCAATGACAGATAGCAAAATAGAGGATGAAAAGGCACAAGAAACAAATTCTGTTTCACAAGATAAAAGGATGAAAGAAAAAGCAAATCTTCATAGAAGTGAGAATCACTGCCATCCACAGAACAGCCAAACTAACCTGAGTCAGGAAAAAAAAAACAACTAAAAAAAAATGGAAGCAGCCTGGTTACCTGTTTGATAAATTTATTTAGTTATTGTTTCTCTCTGACAAGCGTCCTAAAAAAAGATGAAGCTTCCACTATTACTATTGCCAGCTAGTGTTCTTATGCTAGTTGCTCTCCTGTGATACTACTAACTGCATCGCTATTGTTCAAGTCTCTCCCTACCTTGATCACATCAAAAGACAATTTTTATTCCTGAAAAAAAAAAAGCATCAAAAAACCACCAAAACTGAGATGTTCATTCTTCTAGTGTCCTAATTACTCAAAATGCTCAACTTCCTACACCAGAAAGAGACAATTCTGGAAACTTCATCTGAAGACTGAGGGTTCAGATTTGCTGGGGACTTGGCCTTCAAATACCTTGCAAAACTTATTGGATATAGTCAAGGTACATGATAAAACATGTTTCATCACACAATTACATCTGTGACAAAAAACACATAAAAACCAGTTAAAATTATTTCCAAGGGGCAAATAACCTTAGGTCAAGAAGTGTATAAGGCAATTCTTATTAAAGCCTTAAACCTTAAATAGATATTTAACACAATGCACCTAATACCTTACATTTAAGCTATTTAACACTAAATACCTCAAAGGTATTTAACTCACACTCAAATCCCATTAAACCCGTTTACGTTTCAGTAAACATTTAAGCACAAAACTTCCTTATTCAGGTATCTGTCTCAGGTTTGGTTGTTTTGTTTTACATGTAAGTCTCCGATTCATGGCTATTACTATTTCCTACAACTTCAAAAAAAACCTATTACCAAGAAAAAAACACCTGGAAAATATAATTTAATTTTTTTTAACTCAAATGGCCCATAGCATGCATTGCTTCTTAGCTGTCTATTCAGCCATTTTCCCAAATTAAGCTCAAGACAACTGTTCAGGCCTCATGTCCACTTCATTTAAAGCATTAACATTATTTTAATCTGATCTAAACCATTTATTACTATCACCAGTGAAACTGCACCACAGAACAAACAAAATGAAAATCTAGTGACCCTTCCTGAAACTTGTTCTTCCACATTCTAAACCAGACCTTTCCTAGCAGAAATTATATAACCTCATTTTAAAATAAGAAAATGTTCTTCACAGCACAGAAATTTTGACAGCAAATATGAAAAAGCCACATGATTATTGCCTGATTGATTATAGCTACTTATTGATGACATTTTGCTTAATGCCAAAAAACCTTGCACTTTAAACTTCACTTGTGGAAAAAGTTATGTTTTTTCTTCAGTGCTGCAAAGATCACTTAACCAATCTTCTATTTCATTGTTAGTATCCGAATTGTAAAACCAAACTTTTACAAAAGCATTCAGGCTATGCCAGTGTACTGTATTGTATGGACACAATGCTGGCATATTTTAAACAGCCAAAGCAAGCAAGATTTTTGCTATTCTTTTCTTAGTAAGTACTGAAAATTGACAACTCTTCTTTCCTTCAGCGTTATTTCCCCAGTGTTGAAGTGTCATTCTCTAGCTACATGGCTTTTCCCTTCTCTCATGCTTGACTGGGTATGAATGACCAACAGAAAACAAACGTGTATATGCCAGGTTCCTATTAACCCTTCCCATGTAAGGGCCATAGCACTTGAATCACAGAGAAAACACTTAAAAGCATTAAAGATGAGACACACCTGATTGGAATGAAATTGGTTAGAGAAATAAAAGATCCCCACTCAAACTTGAAGTGAAAAATATTTATTTATGGCATGCAAAACTATAAAAATTACTAGGAAAACCCTCACAAGATACATTGCAGTAGCCAGACAAAAGCAAGCAAGTATTTTTAGTAAAGCTTACTAGCAGTAAAGCACACAACATTAAAAACCAGTGTTGGAGCATTAGAAAAATATTGTCCACTGGAGAAGTATTGACAGGAAAGAAAAACTGTCTGTTCTCCAGAGTAGACAAGGTTGATCTTCAACCGGATGGAACTGGTATTGCACTTTAAAGAACAAGAAATAGTTAAAGAGATGCTAGAGATACCGTTCTAAAAGCTCTATATGTTGCAATCATGCTTATCTGTTACAGAAAACTAGTGAAAGAGCAGTGCTGTAAATCTTCTGAGATGTTTTCTATTTAGAACATAGAAATCGCATTAGTTCGGGCTTCACAGCTTTTGTGCCTTTGCAGTAAATGAATAAATTCTCAGACTCAAGTTTTAGGTTCTTAAGAAAAAAATAAATCATTAGGTATTTGGTAAAATTCTAGCACACAGAAGAAACTTGAAAGAGACACATCAGTTGTACATTTTTCACATAAGGGGTAGCAGAGTATGGCTTTTTTTTTTTCTTCCTGCAATTGCCAAGACGTAAGACTGAGGCAGAAACTGCCATGCTTCAGAAGCCTGAGGAATAAAAACTTGTTTTCCAAAAAAAGAAAAAGAAGCTGAAAACATTACCCCTCCCTCAGAAGACTTGTAAAAGCCTGCCATTCCGTTCAATAACAATTGAAATTAATGACCCTCCTTCAGAAAACAAAGATTACCTGGCTAGAAGTTCAGCATTTCAGGGAACAATCAGTCATTTCGGATGTTGCCTACAGGTGTCAATATATTTAAATACTTTTTTCCTCCCTACAAAAATTAAATAATCAAGGAACATTCTGGGTTTTCTTTTTTTTGTTTAGTTGAGGTTTTTTTAGACCAACTTCAGATTTCTCTGAAGATCCACATATTTTATGTGGCATAACTGGAACATTTTACTGGAAATAATTACTAAAAAACAAATATAGAGCATGAGTCTGTCAAAGCTTTTTTCTACTGAAAACACAGCTATAAAACTCTGCTTTCATAGACAACCACCATTCTGTTGTCTTAATTTTATGTACTACGACACCGCTTATTAGGATAACTGGAATAAAAGTTACCTTTTTTAATTCACTGCGACTGTCCTGTGAATTCAGGGGGAGCAGGACAACTTATCTTCTACTAAGAGCCTACTTATTTGGAAAAAAAAAATTTGTTCAGGCTGAAAGAACACTGTAAGTTGATGATGAAACACTTAAAGAAAAAGAGGATTTCAGAAGAAAGACAGAATAACCTGAAAACATATTTTGGTTTATTTTGTGTGTCAATCTCAAATGCTGCTGTAGGAAAAGCAACCATTACACCATTTAAATCATGCAAGGACTTTGGGCAACTATAATTCTGAGGCAGATTATTTTCTTGAGACTATCTTCATGTACTTAGACTTAAACTGTTGTCCTGCTAATACAGTAAGGACAGAATACAGGTCTTGAAATTTCAAACAATGTTCTTCCTCCGTAAAAGAATGCCTGTCCCTACACTCAATGTACGTTCTTAAGCAATAGCAGCTTATTCACCACACCTCTCTAGTTAGTATAGGGGCTTAAGTAAGCCCACTTTCAGCTCAAGGCAAGTGATGTAAAGTGTGGTGTCTTAATCTCTTTGAATGAAAAATACACCTCACCACCACCACAAAAAACAAACAATCAACCCCACCCCCCATCCTCCAAAAAACAATCCCAACAAATCAGCCGCAGTGGATTTACAGTTGTCTGATAGTCTTATTTTAGCCATCTTCTCCATGACAAATAAACATGCAAATTAACTCCTAGGTTTACACAGTTTAGCATAAAAAAATATATATAAAAACTCCAAACATATGAGAGATCTGTACGTAAAATGAAAGACAGTTGTTTCTGTTGCTCAAATACTAAGACACATCTAGATTTCTCACAAGAAGTCAATGACTGAAATTGCTATGATCCTTGCTAGAAATGCAAGCTCACCTACCGAATGAGGCAGGTTCATCCAGAGCAACAAATGACAGAGCAAAAGCAGACCAGTTTGGAACGATCATAAACCTGATTATTACTCTGCACTCTCTTCTGAATATGGAAAGCTGCATAGTTCAGAGCAGTAAGGGGGGAGGGGGAAAAAATGTCTACGATAAATATATCTACATCTGCAGGATTAAAAAACTAAATAAAGGACTCAATAGGCATACAATGAGGAACTCCTTCAGAGATCAAAACCATGCCATGTGGTACTTATCCATATTTACTATCCCGCACTAGGAAATTAATAAGCACACATGCTATTGAAGAAAGAAGAGTCAGGAAAGGGAAAAAATCCACAACAGTCAGAACAGAATCTTCACTGTTGCATTAATTTCTTTTAGCTATGCTGAACCAAAGGCTCTTTATATGCTCGAGAGTCCTAGGTTATTAGTCCAGTGGAGGTGTTCAGGCAAGGTGAGAAGAGGGATGGATACAGGCTGAAAACAACGCCAGATGCCACTGCATGGAATGGCTGGAAGACTGGCAATTACACAATGAGAACAAGGCTGAGTTGTCTGCAGATGAGCAAGGAAAAATCCCAATATCTTCACCTAAGCATAATTTCTGCAAATGAAATGTGTGAATTTTGTGCTGCTCACAAGTCACAGCAAAGCTGGAGAACCATCAACCATCCTGCATTTTTAGCCATTTCTCCCATCACATGGATTGTTTACATCTCTTTTTGAGTTTTGCACAAGAGAAAACCATCTAGTCAGAGACCAAACTTGTCCACCCTGAGAATAAGTAATCTGAGCAGAGAAGAGACTGTACTACAACTATCTATCAACAAATTCTAGTAGACTAATAAGCTCTCCTTCTTATTTGACTATTTATAAAGATGAAACGCTTGAGACAACATATCCATCATATTGTGAACATATTTGAATTCTATCATCAAATATACAGAACATAGAGAGGTGGTAATTTAAGAACACAGAACAGATACAGTATACGTACAATTTTCAAAAACTCAAATGTACATGTAGATTTAAAAAAAAAAAGGTGGAGTCTTTTCACCTCCTGAAGCATAGATGAGATATTGCCATTGATTTCAATGAGGTCAGGTTTACAGTCAGGATTTCTGCAAATTTCATAAGCATCTGGAAGGCCCACTGCAAGGTAGTGAAATTTATGCACTGACAATAACATAGAGAGTTAAAAGTGTACATATGCTTTGGTAACATTCTCTTACAAATGTAATCAGCTATTAAGTATGTTGCTCTAACACACTACTGAGTATACTCCATGCCTAAAAAAAAGTAATTAAAATTAAAGTTGATTTTGCAACAGCATAAGTTTCACTTAAAGAGGAAAAAAGGATCACCATGTTTCCAATATTAACTGTGTGCAGAATAACGAAATTTGATTTTCCCAGATACTAAAGGGGACACGGGAGGGAAGAAATCACACAGTATTTTAAGTCATTTCATCTCCACATAAGTGACTACAGCAACTATATAATGAAGACTTGATTTTTACTACCTGCTCATTACTTTTGATTTCTGACCCTCTGCCTCCACAAAGATTATCTTCATTATTGTTTGCACTCATTGCACCGTTGCTTAATTCTGGAGACCTAATTAGGTTTGATCCGTATCTGTTCCCACTGGGTTTTGTTGTTAAAACTGAAGCCATCTTGTTAAAATGTGGTAAAGAATTTTCATTTGACCCTCGAAAAGTTTCAGAAGAATCTTCCAACGCCATGTAATTGTCTAGCATTTCTGCTCCAGCAATCGATTGATTTGGGCCTTTCAGCATACCAGCTGTATTTGGCATTTCAGAGGTAGCACCACAACAGTCTTCTTTGCGATCAGATGTAACACAACCTATCTTTTTACCATTAATAAGTGACATATGTTCTTCTAGATTCATGCCAGACACCTGTGTGCATACACACGGAGCTTCTAAATGAAGATCATTAATCTGGTGATTCTTCGGTTCTGCTCTTGGTGGACTATTAAGAGCAAATGAATTAAGACTTCCCTTTGAAAAAATAACCTCATTATTATTGTCTAGAGGTAGTGACTCTTGTGATAGCAAGTGGTTTTTCCTAGCTAGTGGTCCACTGTTGGTAACAGAAGTAAAAAAGTTATTTGCATCTGCAGGTTCAAGTGGTAGCTTGGGAAAGGTTTTAATTTTTCTCAGAGATCCTTTCTTAAAAATTCCATCTCTCTCCAGGTTAGTAACACATGATCTTACATCCAAAGCAACACTAGAAAAACTGTCAGTACACACTGCATGTTCATCCTCTTCTTTGCTCTTCTTAGCTTGAGTTGCAAGTTGAAAATGTTGAGTTTTCTCATTATCCAGATCTATTTGCATTTCCTTTAAACCATTTTCTCTGCCAGTCACCATAGTAACTATAGAAGAGTCTTTATGACAGGTAGCTGTCAAATCTTCCACTGCAGATGAATCACCTGCTATGTTGTTTTTCTCACTTGAATATAATTTAGATCCCAAACTTCTCTGACACATTCTTCCCTTCCACATGTTATCACAGACATCTAGATGCAAAAACAGATGCTTATATTAAAGGTAAACTTTCTAATATTTCCTTGTAAATCTTTATATTGCTTTTTCTGCCACTGCCCTTTCATATTTTCAGTATGTTACAAAAATTAATTATTTCTGAACAAGTTACATTTAATCACAATTAATGCATTTAGAGTGTCCTTTATGTTCAATAATATGTTGTATGTCCCCTACTCCCCATCCCCAATCCACAAATATTTAATAACTTTCTGGTATCTAGAAAGGAACCTGTAACAGGAAAATACGCACATATAGTATTTTCAAAAGTCATGAGCTATGCCAGATAATCTAAAGTTCTATACCAAATACATTTAAGGTTACCTTGAGAAGCACCAAATGATTCAATTGAAAGAACCCTTCTTCCAACAGCAGACAGGCTTCGACAAATATTACTTGATGAAGCAATCTTCAGTTTTTCTTCACATAATGACAAAATACTCTAGAGAAAATTAGCGTTAAATACTTATTTAATAATGAACAGATTTGTGAATTTTGACTAAAGTGAATCATGTTAACTCTGTATGAGTATGTCTGAATTTATGACACTACATTTAAACTCTTTCTTGTACTCTTCATTATACTGTGTGTTTCTATTATGTGGTTGGATTTATTTCTCATTTTTACCATGAGCTATCATGAAATTTCTTAACACAGATCAAGTTCTAGCCCACAGTGAGAACACTAAGAACAACTGATAAAAATTAATAATCTTAAATGTTATGCTTTATGAATAACACCTGAAAAATTTAAAAAGCTAGTGTGGATTATTTTTTAAACAGACATTGTTTCACTCAATTCGAATGATACAGGCAGTTTGATGAATTTTTTTATTACCAAAATTACTTTAGGAGTACTGCAAAGTTCAAGTATCTAGAAAGCACCATTCCAAAGTAGAGAAAGAAATCACTGGATCACTAGAAGAAACAGTATCACACATCACTAATCTGTAGCCTGAGCGTCATTTGATGGCATTAGCACTGGTCTCTCACACAATTAACTACAAACATTTAAAACCCTGTCACTTTGGGCAGAAAATAAGAGTTGCCTTTCCAAATGCATGCCCCTGTCTCCTCAGTAACTGTTCCTAGATAAACACTGACAAGACCTCATACAGCTCCAAGGGGCTGCTGTTGCTTCCTCATTTAACATCATCATCTGTTCTTCTGCTGTTTGAGCAGAAGGAAGAAACTGGCTCTGCTGGTTCACATATCAGATTGAAGAAGAACAGGCAAAAGTGAGTGAGGTATCCAGCTGTGCTGGAGTCCAGTGAAATGCACAGAAAAGTCTATGGGTTCTCCCTCTATATAGTTCCCCTCACTTCTTTCCACCCAAGAAAGGGCCCAGTGGAAAAGGAACAGAGAAGAGATAGTCACAAAGTGACCTTCATATATTACCCTAGACCAGCCTTGACCTACTCTATTTTGGGGCTGATATAAGTAGCCAGTAATTGTTTTTTGGGATTACTACCAACCGAGGATGATATGGAGTTCTATACAATCCTTTCCTGACTATGCTCAAATGTAAATGAATATAGGAGCTGATCAA